ATTTACGCCATGACTGGCATTGAGACGTTGTTGGATATACTGGCCGAGTTGATCGGCGGATCGTTTGTGCAAGGCAACGCACTCGCCCTGTGTTTCTTCAAGACATACGGCTACGTTACCTGCTCTCACGCTTTGTCGTTTAGCATCGACCTCAAGATAGCCCATTATGTCAAGATTCCGCCTCGCTTCACCTTCTTTGCGCAGATGGTGCCGACGCTGGTCTCAACATTTGTCGGCGTCGGCATCGTCTCGTACCAAGTCCACCTCAAAGATATCTGTACCGAGAACGCTCCATTCAAGTTCGCATGCCCCAACCAGACCTCATTCTTCACTGGTGTCACTCTCTGGGGCACCGTAGGCCCCAAAAGGCTCTGGGGCGTGGGCGGCCAATACTCGGAAACTCTCGTCGGTTTCCCCCTCGGCATCGTCGTCGTGGTGATGTTCTGGCTCCTCGGCAAGTATTTCCCCAAGAACCGCGTGCTTCGCGCAACGCATCCCGTCGCTCTGTTGAATGGGGGCCTCTACTGGGCGCCGTATAATCTTTGCTATATCTGGCCCGCTGTGCCTGTCGCGTTTTTGTCCTGGATTTATGTCAAGGAGCGATTCTTGACTCTGTGGTCCAAGGTTAGTACCCAGACAAGAAACTACTCACCTTGGTACGGCATCTAGCTTGCTAACAGTCTGCCTCTTTCTGCAGTACAATTTCGTTCTGTCTGCCGCCTTCTCCGCCGGCATCGCCATCTCGGCGATTATCCAATTCTTTGCTCTCACATACCGGGGCATCACTTTGGACTGGTGGGGGAATAACGTGGTTAGCATGGGATGCGAAGGCACCGCCTGTCCGCTGAAGAAGCTACCTGAGGGAGAGTTCTTTGGACCTGCACCAGGTCATTACAACTGAGCTGTTGTGCTTCTTGGGAGAGGAGCGGAAAGACGCTGCTAAAGTACTTGCTTGTCTAATACGTACTATAGTATATACAGTACCCAGCTCTTTGAATACAGAGTACAGTTTGACGCCTTTGGTAGCCATTGTATCCGCGTTATTTGATTTGGAGTGGCCAAGCTACAGATCCCACCGGATAAATTCCCCCATTCACTGGGCTGAGTCCTTGCCGTTGTTGGTCTTTCTCTACTCCGTTGGATTCTCATGAGAATACATGTAGCCATGGGAAGCAACATCACGTCCGGCATCTGCCGAGGTCCCCCAAACAGGGGGTTGTCATGCATGATACGCCTAGTGTTTGGAGCAATTAGACAGACCCTCAATGACTCGCCACCAACAGGCCAGAAAAAAATCCCCGAAGCTGCATGGTGTAATTACGGCTTGCAGGCTTTCCTTGAACACACCCAACACGGCTCATTTCACAGGTGAATTACACGTTTAAGCATAGCACTGCACTCGAATAACCTTGTTTTTACTCCTCGGCGTATCAATGTCCCGCCAGGTTCTTGGATATGAGCGCAGTTTGCTTTTGGACGGGCGCTTAGCAGCGTGAATTGTGCTAGCTTCGGGTTTCGGTCTCATCGCTACTCCACTCACGATTCTGCAGGTTTTTTCCATCTCACTTGTCTTGTCGTATAATGCCGATGATGGCATAACAGTTCCTGAGGAATCGAGGTTAATGCGCGTTCACAGTCATCTTTGAATCGCAATGTCAGTTGGAGAGGAGCCAAAGGGCAGGCAGCAAGACGCGACAATGATCGGACCGCGGCATGTCAAAGCAATAGCGCCGTGACACGTCCAGCCCCGAAAAGGGGGACAAGGTCATGATACTGCACTGCAGGTGTTTGTAAAACAGGTAAAATCAAGTCGTCCAGGAGAGCAAAACACCAAATCAGGCAGAAGGGAGGCCGTTTTCGAGGTCCCCAAGCCCAAACGCCCACTGATTCCAGGGCCCCCGTGGCTCGGCGATTGCCTGAACGGGCTCGACTTGGTGGCTCCAGTTTGTCCGTCGCCTCCGGCCCAAGATGAGACGCGCCGCTAAACGGTGCGTGGCCCAGGCCTTTGGGGTTTGGTTGAAAAAGGGCGCCGTCGCCGTTTGGGAATCGCGCTTCTTGATTTTCGCCAGACAACTCCCTCGTTGCCAGTCGCTCGCTCAATCGTCAAGATCGCTCCAGTGATCGTCCATTCTTTCGTTTGCCGCTGAAAAGCTAGGCCATTGAATCCATTGTCAACCAGATCCATTTCACTTGAAATTCAATCTTCAACGTCCCGCCATGGCTCTTCGATCTCTCGCCGCGACTCTCCTTTTGGCCTCTTCGGCCTTGGCCAAGACTGACCTTGCCGGCTGCACTTACACCGACATCGTCGTCATGCCCACCGACCGTCCCGCCTACGATGCCTATGCCAGCCGCCTCTGGTACGTCCCCGGCACCGGCGAGCTCTGCGACTTCCTGGACTGCGGTGGCGGCCGAGCTCCCCCCAAGACGAACGTCCCCGGCTGCCCTCTGTACTCTGGCACCGAGACCTACTCGCCCAGCTACCTCAACCTGCAGACCAAGGCTGCTGCTGCTGGCTCGGGCGAGGCCACAGCCACTGGCTCGTCTGGCGCCATAACCACCGGCGAGTCTCAGGTGACGACCAAGGCTACCGCCGCTCCGTCCACGACCTTGGAGACGTCCGTGTCCAAGACGGCCTCTGAGACCGACTCGGCCGCCCAGACCACCGCCGCCTCCTCAACCACGGCTGCTGTTCCCCCTCCAGTCAAGTCGAGCGCAAGCTCATCCGCAGTGACGGCTTCTCAGGGACAGCCTGGACACAACGGCACTGTCACCGGCGCTCACCCCACCAGCACCTTCACGACCAACGGCGCCGCTCCCACGGCTGTCGCCATCTTTGGCTCATGCCTGATTGCTGGTGTTGCGGCGTGTGTTGGCATGATGTAAAGAGGTGGCGTGTGTTGACAACTTGTGAAGGAAATGCCATCATGAGTGTCGATTCATGTAGGGGAGGAGAAGGAGGAGATGGAGGTAGAGTTGGGAATCAATATTCAAGGGATGTTTTTTTTTTTTTCGACGGTGTCTGCCTTGCCGTTTGAGAGTGATGCCAATGTAAATGTGCACAAGTGATATGCATGTAATTGTATGCCTGTGAAGTGATTGATGCTCGATTCCGCTGCCTCTCGTTATAGTTGCAGCAACGAGTCATCCGGAATCATGACCAAGCCGAGACATTATGTAAGACATCCATCATACGCCCCCAGTGCGGCTAGCCCCATCACACCCAGCTAGATGAGATCTCCCTTTAGAATCTCCCGAGCTGCTTCAATCTGCTAAACCCCAAAGAGGCGCTTGTTCGTGCAAACCATCCGAGGCGGTGATTGTCAGGCGCTGCGGAAAGCCATGCCGTCATACATGCGGTCGGAAAAGAGAGGCGCAGATTCCAATTAAAAGGGAGGGAGAGAGAGAAAACGCCCGCTGTTTGTTTATCGCACGCGCTGGGTTGTGGTCGTACGAGTACGAAATAGTAACAGCCACCAGAACACGCTCAGCTCCTTCACCGACCATCTCAGCCCTGGCGGAACAAGGACCGGTTTGATTGAGGAAGAGATGCAGATGCAGATGCAGATGCAGGACGAAAGGGGGTGGAAAAGGGCGATGGGGTGCCTGGACGATAAGGCATTCAAAGACCCGCGCGGGCCATGTTTTCACCTCCGAGGCTTTCTCGAGCAGACAAACATGCAGTACTACTGCCATCGACGCGACAACAGCCAGATGCATCCTTAGCCTTTTGATTTTCTACCGTTAATCGCCCGTTCCGGTATCTATTCAGTGGTGTCCACCAGGCCGGTTCGGTAACGCGGTGAAACCCCACAAGTCCAGGCCCGGCGTCATCCGCCACCCCAAAAGTCCACGATTTGACTGCCAACGACACACCCACGAGTATGTAATGATTGCCTAACAGTTACCTTGTTCAGGGAATCATGGCGGTCATGTTGGCGGCGACTGGGAGATGGGCGCGCGATCGTGTCACGCCCTGCGTTTGCGGTGCCGGACTTTGCTTGTTAATGGATGGGCCGCTGCCATTCCATCCGGGGGGAGAGGGTGAGGCGGTGTCCATGTGCTGGGTTGTAGAAACGTAATCGGAGAATAGAAGACGAAAAGAAGACGGGCAAGGCTTCCAACGTAATAATAAGCAACAGGGCCGTTCATCGCATGATGTGTTACATATCTCTCTCTCTCCATCGGCCGGAGCAGCAACAGCAAACACTGGCATAAGAATAAGAATCCGGAACCGCCGCGACCTTCCTCATCCGAACCCCGTGCGACCCGCTTCTCCGCCGATTGACTGGATTTGCATATTGTCCTGAGCATCAAAGGCGATCGACCAGCCAAGTAGCGCCAGGCCCACGCCAAACAAAGGCATCCAATAGGCCCAGAGCCGCCGGCGCGAAGTACTGTAGTAAGAGTAAGTGCATATGCCTGCGTGCGTTGCGCCGCGAACAAGCTCCGGACCTGCGCACCTGACCCTGTCCGCTGGGCGTTCCCATCGATATAACACCCGCAAAAGAAGACAACAACTTTGAATGGATAACGTAAAGTTCCCAAATGACACCCCAGCCCGTCGGTCTAAGGGCCGTAGCTAACCGGCTAGTAAACGCCACAGGATTGGTCCATGATGGAGGTAACACGTACTTGTATGGGCCATCGACTTTCCCCCGTGTTTCTAATCTTGGCCATATCTATCTAGGTTGCTTGTGCTGGGGGGAGAATAAAAGAAGCAGGGCGGAAGGCGGGAAGATGGGGATCCAAGCTCCAGGGGGGGGGGGGGCCATTGACAAGACCAGGATGAACCGGGGGGTCAAACTCTCGTCTGCCAAAAGTAAACATATATCGTACTCCTCCCATCTCTCCTCCACCTCGACACCCAACCTATTTGTACTCTTTTGTAGAAGAAACGAAGCGGAAAAAAGAACGAGTATCTATCTATACATTAAAAAAAAAAAACGCCCAGTACATCATATCCAAAAAAGCGAAAAAGACACAACAAGACAGCAACCATGGGCTCTCTCGTTTCCACAATGGGTTCCAAACCCTCAAAGAGCTCAAAGGCCACCAACCCCGAGGGCGAGCCACGGTACTGGTTCCGCGACAACTTCTTCCTCACAAACGACAAGAAATACCTCGAGCCCCAGGCCATCAACGCCGTCTTTGAATCAGACCTCATGTGGTGGAACGATCCGCTGCCGGAGCAACAGATGCGCAAGATGCTGTCCAATTGCATGACGATGAGCATATACCACGTACCCGAGTCGGAGAAACAGATGCAGAGTTCGTCGTTCCCAACCACTCTGATATTCCATCCACTTCTCTCCTGTAGAATATTCAAAGCTAACATGGTCTTCTTCAAACGTAAAATAGACAACGGAGCTCCGCGGAGACCATACGGCTCCGACGTAAAGCTCGTCGGCCTCGCCCGTGTCGTAACCGACTACGTCACATTCGCCTACCTCACCGACGTCTTCATCATCGAGGAGTTCCAGAGACGCGGCCTCGCCAGCTGGATGATGCAAGGCCTCAAGGAAATCGTCGACGAGTGGCCCAACCTGCGAGGCCTCGTCCTCATGACGCACGACCAGGCCGCCGCCAAAATGTACCAGCGCGAGCTGAAAGCCCTCGACTGGGACCAAGGTCCGTCCGCTGGCTTGGTGTTGCTGGAGATGCCGGGCGGCGGAGTCAAGGATATCCCAGAGGATCACAAATGAGACTTGGCGCCGCTTACTTTTCGTCTCCCTTTTTTCTTTTTATCGTCGACATGTTTCAGCATTGCATAAGTCTCGCTCGACGCTCATCGACGAGGCACGGTTAGCTTTTTTGCATCTTTGGTTTCTGGGATATCACTGTTTTTTTCTTCTTCTTCTTCTTTCTTCTTCTCTTTTCTCTCTTTTATACCTCCCCATTTTTGTGTCTCTACCTGGTATTTTTAGATATGGCAGCCCGCATCTCGAGAGCTCTCTTGTAAGGCGGAGCAATAGGAGGCTGGACCGGGTCTAGCGAAACATAGTCTTCAGGTAGCTGGTAGGAAGCGTCGGAGTCAAAAGCGGATAGATCGCCACAAGCGATAAAAGGTGCAATCCATCTTGACCCATTGTCCCTATCGTTGCCCTCCGTCTCGTCGTAAACTTCCACCTCTGTGATTCCGCCCTCGCGTGATGTCGTCGGCGCTGATTTGGCGCTGCAGTCCCATGTCCCCTCGCTTGACTGCATGGTTGCTTCGGCGACAATGGGTAGCTGCATATCCCGCCCTTTCGCCAACCTATCCAGTCGCTGTCCTACCCCGAGCGGCTCCTCGAGGCTTGCATGGAAACCTGCCGGTGGCCGGAAATTCAGGCACACGATGAATGCCTCGACACTGCTCGCTCTACTGCTCCTGGGCTTCGCAACAATGACCTTTTCGAAAAATATCTTGAGCTGCGCGTATAGAATGTCCACGTTTCTACCCCGGAAAATCTTGGCGACGAACTTGCCGCCCGGTTTTAGAACGCAGAGGGCAAGGTTAAGCGCCGCAAAAAGGAGCTGTGATTGGACGTAGATGTCGAGATCGTGCAGGCCCGTGACGTCGGGGGCGCCGTCGCTGAGAACGAGATCGACGGGGTGCTGCGCCTGGGTTCCCGCTGCTGTTGCGGGATCGTAGGATGGGTCGAGGGCAGACAGGAGGAGAGGGACGGTTGCGGGATGCGTAATGTCTGCTCTCAGAGTTGTGATTCCCGCGAGGGGAGAAATAGGCTGAAGATCGATGGAGACAATCTTGACGTCTGGGTTGGCTGCTGCTGCCGTCGTCGCCTCGGCGCCGTTTTGCGCGGACGACAAGCTCGTCCCCTTTTCTATAGCCGCCTTCTGCTCGGGTGAAAAGGCCTCGGGGAAGACGCCGAGCATCTGCTGGCGGACCTTGGCGTCGCGATCCTGCCATGCCGAGCGGCCAAACTTCTCGCCCTTGATGAGCACGCGCGACAGGACTTGCGACCAGGAGCCCGGGGCGGCGCAAAGATCGACGACGCGGGAGACGTTGGAGAAGAGGTCAAATTCTGCGACAAGGAGAGACTTGGATTTAGCGGACAAAGGCACGGACAATTGGGCATCTCGCATTCCTGGAGATGGAGGGATGGTACCTTCGTCTAGCTGGAGAAGCTTGAATGCACTTCTTGCGCGCCATCCTTGCTCTTTGGCGAGCCGGTAGTAGGCGTCACGTTTGTCTTTGGAGGATTTACCCATTATAGGTGGATGTGGTATTTCCCCCCCTTTCTTTTTGCAGCCGAGGAGAATACGGGACGTTGTTGGAGGTTTTCTATGTAGACGAATTAGTAGATGTGCAACTTTTTTTTCTGCCCCGCGATGTCACTTTTCGGTGCATGTACCTTTGTGGCATGGTGGGGGTGGATCTTGTCTTGACATGTGAGTGTTGATTACCCTGCATCAGGAGAAGGGAATCCCATAAAGACCCTTACAAAGGGGAATAAATCCATCTACTTGAAGCAAAATGAATATTATATATGTACTTATTTTCAGTATTCTATATAGTGCTACATTGATGAGGCAATGTTATATGCACGCTATCTTCTCTACATTCCAGACGACGTGATTAACTCATAAAGTTTGGATTAACCACAAAATTCTTGCCTCTATTGTAGCGCAATCCCCTCACACACTACCTAGGTAGGTATAAAGAAGCCATTATTCATTTTCTAAACAACCCCAAACTCGCCTCCGATAACATCTAAAGCCTCCCTCAGGAGAGACAGGACCTTTTCATCACCCTGCACTCTCAGTGCCTTCACAATCAAGGGGTACAACCTCAGCAAGTGCTTTCTGACATCGCTTTGTGCTTTTTCAAGAGGAGCTATCGCCTCGCTCTGGCTCTGCAAACCAACCAGCTTTTGCAACGTCCAGAGCAATTCCTTCCTCTGGCTTAGTGGCTGCGGCATTTTGCCTCGAAGAGGCTGATCAGATACATATGCGCGAAGAGTCAACGCGCATCGTAGAATTAAGAACGGGGCTGCGGTACACGCAATGCGGGTTCTTGAAGCAGAATGATCATCCATGGCCTTGGCAGCAGATGGCTTATGGGCAGCCGGCTCGTCTGTTGAGATAAGCAAGAAGAGCTCTTCGAATGCGACGTAGGCCATCTTCGTACGCTGCGTCGGTGGGACGGAAGTTGTCAGTCCGGTTCGTGGCTGGTACAATTTTGGCAGGCCGGCTCCTCCGTCCTGAATGACGACCTTGTCCGCCGATGGAGGTTCGTGAATGATGGACGTCTTGAACAGACTCATAGTATATGCGCTTCGAGTCTCCTCCTTCACCTTTTCTGATCCCATTGAAGGGATGACCAGTTCTACCAACTTGTGGAACCATGCAATGTCTGCCGCTTCATCATCTGCAATGCTTGTGCCAGGCGGCGGATTGTCGCAATCTGCACTCAGAATACCGTCCGCAACCTCGGCAATAAGCTGCCAAATGCCTTGGATGGTCTCTGTGGGTATATCTAGATCATCAAGCTTTGACAGAGTCGCTTCGGAGATTGTCAAGACTGTCGATGTCGCCAGCTTCCAGGGCTGGACTGACCTTGTAGTAATAGGGAACTGGTATTTGAGAGCAATAGGTCTGAGGAGAGCGGATAGAGCTGCGCTGACTGATCCGCTCGTGTATATATCAGTGTCGGCTGAGTGGCTCACCACGAGGCCCTCCAACATTTGCATACTGGTTTTCGACATTGCAACGTAAGTCCTTTTTGACGGAGGCTGAGCTTCATAATCCTGGTCGTAGGCCAAAGTTACAAACTCGGAAACCTGCTTGATCAATGCCGACGGAACGCCGCTAATGTCAGTCCGAATCATTTTCACGGCATCCAGCGCCTGTGCCTGAAGCTGCGTCAGATTGTCAATATCTGTAGCATAACTGCCCACAGAAGCCTCTTCAACGGTATGCCGCAATAATCCGAGGATTCGCTGGACTCTGTCCACCGTAAGATCAGACTTGATCAGCCTGTACACCTCACGAAGAGCGGCCACGTAGGCGGTTAGACAGTTTTGGTTGTCCTGAGCTTTTCCCTTAGGAGATTTTGTGATTGGAATACCTCGGGACCACAAGTCCCAGGCGAACCTGACAGTTGTCTCGTTAAATATGGGCTTCTCCTCGCTTCCTGACTGAGAAAGCACATGCCCTAATGTTTTGAAAGTTGCCGTATTGATAGCAAGAACCCTGAAATCGAGTAATGTAGCCAGATGCTCAAGCAGCTTGTTCCAGAGCTCGTTGAAAGACGAGTGTGCTGTAAGTACTTCGAGGTTGTTTCCGAGCAAAGTAGATATGCCATTCAGCACAACGACTGCAGTATCGTGCCACTCTACCCTATCGGTTTCGTCTACTTCTTCGTCCTGGGTGGTCCTCAGTTCTCCTTCAAGAGAAGTCAATAGCTTGAAAACCACGGATTTGATGCATATTGACCATGCTTCAGGGGTGAGCCTCTCCCCATAAGCATCAAAGATACGGAGAAGTGTTTGAATAGCCGTGTTACGAAGTTCAACTCTGTCGTCAGAGGCGACAGCCGTGAGCCTCAACAGCAACAGCATCCACAACGCTGCGTCGGATCCTTGGCCGCCATGATCTGCTGCCAGGCGCTCTAGCTCATCGACATCGGCGTCCTGAAATAAGTCAATCGTAATATCAAGCGACTTGTCCTTGCCGGATAGAAAGTCGGAAAGAGCCCAGAAAAAGGTCACAGTCTAAGAATACGTTCTCATTAGCGAAATGAATTATCTGCTCCAAAAAGCCAACCCTTACCGTCAGTGCAATATTGAGATCGTCGTCTTGAGAGCAGAATTTGTAAAGCGTATCAACCAAAATCAAGAAGCAAGAGTTAGGTAATGAAGGTAGAAAATCCGAGCATATCAGTTGCAGTGAGCTAAAGGAAGATCGCACAAGCTTTGACGATCGTGTACCGAGATTTCGAGCATTGATGGTTGATTCGTGATCTCCCGAATCAGTCTCTCTTGTTGTGAAAACGCTTCCAATAATGTCAAAGGTGACATCCCAGCCGCTGACGAGAGTTTGCCCGCAGTCCTCGATAACGCCTCGCAAACCATCAAGAATAATTCTATGAATCTCAATATCAGTCGTTGCGTTTGAAACAGAGATGTCCCGGCCACCTCTTTGTAAAGGTTTCAACGAGTCTCGAAGGGCGCCCAATAGCCGGAGTTGAATCGCGCCGCGAATATCGGGAGGCAAGGTACCTGCAGCGTTGGCTGCTTCGAGCACTAGCTTGGCAAGTATATCAGAGGCCCTTGTCCTGACTGATGGACTATTCAGACTTGAGTTTAACATCTGAATCAGCTTGTGCACTAATAGGTCCCAGCCTGACTCTGTCGGATCGTATGCCAACAGCCGTTCTAGATTAATCATGGCAATGTCCCCCAGTTTGGCTAGCGCAAACTGGAGTTCTTGATTGGATGCTGTCGACTGGCCAGAGAAGCTGAGTACTCGCCGATGCTGACCAGACGAGCTTCTCGCATGCTGGCTCTGCCGCGACGGCTCTTTGTTGTCGGCGTTAGGCTTGACCTCGCCTTCATCTGGTAGTAAGCCGCATATAGCTTGAACCACTTCGATGAATGACTCATTGGGGAAGTCAACACTGCTTTCAATTAGTCTGGACGCGGCTGTTTCAACAGATCGGACTTCGCTGCCAAAATTGGCCATGAGCGAGTTCGCGTCTGATTCACTTTGGTAGTCCTGTCCGCCACGGCCTAGAGATTGAGCTCTCCCGGGAGCCTTCCCAGTTACATAGAGCACAAAGTCAGCCTGTTGTAAGGTCTCAAGTATGATACCCCAAGCAGGCCCAAGCGTTGGGCCAAGAGCGATGCCGAGATTAAGCAGGGCTCGCAAGCAAAGGAGGTTCCGTGTGTTGAGAGTTATGGACGCATCCATAGGGCCTTGACGCTGTCTTTCTGTAGGGCTGGACACTTGCGATAAGTTTTCGACGCTCAAGAGGCCTCGAGCATTGCTGAAAACGCTGTTTGATGTTTCTGTCGGAGTAGTGGCTGCGGATCGTGGTTGACCAGCATTGACGCACGCACTCAGCACATTTGGAGGTACTGCAGCTTTCCCAAGCGTAGATAAAAAGGCATCTCGTGGCGTTGGGAGCTGCAATAGGCCTGCCACATGGGCAAACCTCTGAAATGCGCGAACCAAGCCGTGGTAATACTCTGAGTCCAAGGCAGCATATAAAAAGGTGGAGCAGGTAGCCAATATAGCAGGCCAACACTCGTTGACAATGTCAGAGCAAACCTTGACTTCGGAATAGGCAGGGTGGTCTTCTAGCTCCAATGGATTGATTGGTACAGGGTTCTTCTTAAAGGAGGCTGACCGTTCTCGCGCTCCCCCGTGAGATGGACCTTCAGGTTCCAGCTGGGATGGAGCAGGCGAGCTACGCCCCATGTCCTGTTTCGAGGCCTTTTTCCGAGCCCGAGTCTCATTGGGGACTGTGAGCGGTAGAATAAACTTGGCAAGCCCATCTGATAGAGATGAGAGGCATGCTAATATCAAACTGTAAATGTACGACTCAGGAATCGCTGGGGCCTCGGCTTTATCCAGTTGATCTATACAGGGAACTCGAACAGAGCTCCACGTTACGCTGATGCCTATATTGGAAGTCTCCGACGCAATAGAGCCGCTGATGATTCCAGTAACACTAGTAGCTTCGATCAATGCTTGGTCTGTAGACAAGCCAGAACCACCAGATGGATCAGCAACTGGTATTGAAGACTGATGGCCTAAGCCGATGACTGCCGGCTTCTCGGTGCTAAGCCGTACAAAAGTCGCAATAAGTGTTTTAATGATGTCCTTCTCGCCCTCTTTTGCGTCGTACATGGTGAATATGCGACGCACCAGAGCATGCTCGGCAAATATGCCGCGGAATACCTCCATGCATAATGCCCGCTTCCAGATGGTGGTATCTTGGTCCAAGAGAGTTGTAAGAAGTGATAGTGCGTCGCCGCACTCTGAAGGCAAGATGCTAATATGGCGGCGCAACAAGGTATAGAGGATGCGGACGAGCCTCACAGTTGTGGCGAATGAGGGCTTGCCTTTGAGTGCACTCATCAGAAGAGGCATCACGCGGTCGCGAAGAATGTGAGCTTGTTCAGGATGGCTGAGGAAGACACTCGCGTGATTCGTGATGACCGACTCAATGAGCTCTAATCCAAATGTTTGCTGTAATCCCGAGAACCGCAGGAATTCGGATCGCTGGTTTTCAGTCAAGAGACACAAGTCGTTGAATATCTAGAAGCTGTTAGTTTCAAAGCACGATGTACATCTGTATAGATAGATCACTAACACGGTACGCATCTAATGCGGCTGCGCGGAGTTGTACTTTGCCGTCGGCTGATGGCGCCTCGCCTGCAATGGGGGCATCGCCGCCATTCTCTATACCAATGTCAGGAAATGTATGTTGATGGCAATGTAAATGAACTCACTATCTTCAGCGACTACTTTGTCAAATACCGAAACGACAAGCTGCTGGAGAGTGGCAGCTGAGGTATTATTCACAATGGCATTCTTGCTACTTTGCAGGATGAAGCAGATATTCAGAGCAGTCACAAGAAGATTGCCATTCAGGTCCGAAGAGTAGTTTTGCAATAGAGAAGGCAACGCTTGCAATATCTTTAACTGCACGTCAAGCCCGGCCGAGGACGCTTGCATCAGCGCCTCCAGGACCTGGTTGAGCTTCGACCTGGGCAGCGCCTTGGCAACGATGAGCCTCTGCAGACAGACGATTGCAATGCCGGTGAACTTTGCATTCTTGGTGCCACACGCGATGATGAAGGGATTCACAAAGCCGGGCTTTTGCGAGAGCACTGGGGGTTCAATGTCAACGAGATGTCACTTGGACTTAGAAGGATCCACTGGTGCATACACTCAGGAGCTGCCGTTTCGGGGACATTGCCAAGGCTCTTCAGCTCTTCCAAAGATCTTTCGGCCGCCTAGAAGAGAAGAAAAAGGTGAGTCGATGGGCAACAAAGCTCCGGCTGAAGAAGAAGTGCGTACTTGTCGAAGGTCATTGTGCTTCCTCTTGCTCTCCTGAATGAGATTAGCTAGCTCCGTGGCCAGAAGCTGCGTCGTCATCTTGGGTCCGGCCGAATAATCTGCCCATGGGCAATCAACGTACGGGCGACGTTTATCTCGCTTTCATGCAGCTTCGGCGTCGAAATGAAGAGGGAATACCGCGGTTTCATGCTCCTCGCTCCAATCAGGTCTCATTCATGATCAAGGACAGCGCATCGGTAGTGAGTAGGTGTTATGCTTGGTGCAAGCATTAAGCCGGCAGAACCAACTCACCGCCTTTCCGCTTATTACCCTTTTAGTCCTAGTCGCATGGGGACTAGCGTACATGATGCTCTCTTGGGCTATCGAGATATTGCAGCTTCATTCATCACTTGGAGTATGTATGCAAAGTATCATCTCGTGAATTTCCAAGTCGTTTCAAATGAATAAAAAAGAGAAAATATTCAAATATCTTCTTCTTTGTGCCCTCCTATCTTGAAGGACAGCAGCTTCAAAGTATAGCGGGCTATCAGATGTAGACATACCTACACGGAGAGAGCAGCCGTGAGTGAGTCACCCGCTAAAAACTTTGGCTCATGTGTATTGCTCTCAGTCTTTTTGTCTCTCCTAAATTCTCAAACATTGCAGTGTGCCCCTTACGCCCAATAAATTTCGTTTTGTGTAACCATAAATCATCCAATCATCCCCTCCTCAATTTTCTCAATAAAATCCCATAGCAGCACCTAGTAGTTGCAGCATTGATACTTTCTCCGGCTTTGGAGGCAGAACCGGCTCTGCGAATAGCGCCAGCAGTTCAAGTAATGACGAAGCTTCTGGTAGTACCCTGAATAGCTAGGATCGTGTTTTCCAATACCCATATGGAGATCAATCTAACCATCCTTGACATCTCAAAGAAAATCTTTCTCAAAAAAGAAATTCGGTGCACCTAATTATCCCAAACATTGGCTGGTCGAGTATCTAATTGTCGCCATCCAAAACAAACAGCTTCGGAAAGCATTAGCAGAGCCCGTAGAATCTGAGAATATGTCTTCACATACTAAGGAGTTTAACCAAACAGAATAACAACCCATCAAGTCGTCTAGACGGGAACATTGGTGAAAAGGTATGACACTGATTCGCCATTGTGGGTTCGTCGAATAGCCTAAGAGAAGTCAGTGTCTAGAATCCAAAGACTATCCAGCAGAGATGAGCATACCTCAGCAAGTGTGCCAGACACATCGATGACCTTGAGCTTAGGGCAGCGCTCGGTTTTATCGCCAACTAACATTAACATGGTTAGACTCTGGGTACTTGCATGGGGGAATTTGATGAAACCTACGGGGAACGGCTAGTTACATGTTAGTGATATGTTCATCAAAACAGGGTCCATTTTCATGAGAAGTCACTTACTGTTGGTGACAACAAGGCCAGATAGATGGGAGTTGTTAATGGTGTCAATGGCGGTGCCGCTGAGGATGCCATGAGTGACAATAGCAAAGACTTGGCGAGCGCCGTGGCTGTTGAGGGTTTCCGCCGCCTTGGCCAGCTATCGAAGGCTATTAATGGTATGTTTACGCAATCGGGAAGTAGGTATCATCACTTACAGTTCCACAGGTGTCGGCCATGTCATCCACAAGGATAGCCACCTTGTCTTGAACATCACCCACAAGAACCATGCGGCCGACAACATTAGGTCGCGGGCGCTCCTTGTGAATCAGAGCAAATCCGGTGTTGAGACGGTCTGCAAGCGAGGTGGCGCGCTTCGCACCGCCAGCATCTGGAGAGACGATGACGCAGTTCTCAACGTCCAGGTTCTCGCTGATCCACCGCAGGACGGATGGCTCCGCATACAGGTTATCTACAGGCACATTGAAGAACCCCTGGATCTGTGAGGCATGCAGGTCCATAGTGATGATATGGTTCTACCGCATGTTAGCTTCTTGATCTGGATCAAAAAAGAGGTTGGCTTAACGCACGCAGCCGGACACCTGCAGCATGTTTGCAATCAGTCTGGCACTAATGGGTGCACGGGACTTGTCCTTCTTGTCCTGGCGAGCGTAGGGGTAATTAGGAATGACGGCCGTGATACGTCTAGCAGACGCAGTGCGGCAAGCGTGGATCATGATGAGCAGCTCCATGAGACCATCGTTGACGTCACCCGGCGCTGTCGACTGAAGGATGAAGACGTCTTCATCTCTCACGGACTCTCCAATGGAAACACTCGTCTCTTGGTTAGAGTAGTTGAGGCTCATGGTGTTGGCGATATTGATGCCAAGTCTGCCGCAGAGTCAGTCAAGTGACGTCTGGCGCTATTTGTCTCATATCTCGTTCAACGACCATCTGGCGAGACATACCGACTAGCCACCAGAGCACTCAGCTCCGGGTGGGAGCTCCCAGAGATGAGCTTGATCTCGTTTGCCATTTGGTCCAACATCGTTAAAGAGGGTAGCAGAAGTCCCTTCTGCCGGAGAGAGAAGAAAAGTAAGAAGAGAGAAAAAAAAAGAGTGGGGGCGAGCAGGATTGGGTGGTGTGCAGAGGAAGCAAAGACGCAAGTGTCGAAGCTCGATTTGAAAGAGGTGAAAGAGGAAGCAAAAGTTGCTCGCTGGCGATGGCTGAACGCGCAGTTACAAGTTGTTTGACGCTGGAATCGGCATGACTCTTTGGTAATTTGTAATTTTTTTTACGATGAAAGTTTGCACGTACCAAGTACATGTTAAAGCATGAGTCTTGACGCTTGGGCGGTCATGTGACAGCCGGTTACGCCTCTTTTGCACTGTACGAATTGCCGAGCACCACTATAGAGCTTATGTTGAGTGCGGAGCTTGAGCCTATCACATACCTTAGTACTTCGTACATTAACCGCACAGTTACATTGACGATAAGAAGCAGCTTCCTTTGAACCGCGAGAATCGGAAACATTCTCGCCGGGGCTACGGAGGCCGGGCGATGTAACAATTGGTGTTTCCCCTATTTTCTATTTTATATACAAGATCTTCCTCATCTTGCGAATCTCGACTCTGTAGACGACGGCAACCCGATGAGATACATGAGATGAAAGCTGCGCTTCAAGCATGCCCTGAGATGTTCGGCAAAAGCTCCATGACGACACCGAACTGAATCCATCAAGAGTTCAATTATAGGCCAATTCATCGACGCTGGCCTTGGATTTGACAATTCAAACATTGATTGCCATTTAAAGGACTGCACAAGAGTATACGCGATATCTATTTGCGGTCTTCGTCATACGAAGCATAGTGTGTCGTCATAACCTCTCTTTCACCATGCAGTCTAAATCTCAACAGCCCCAGCGGCCCAGTGCAACTGACATGATGGCTTGCTTTTCTCTGCGCGAAGAGTCTCTGAATAGTCGCCCGCTGCGGCTGCTAATCACTGCCACGGGCACGCGGCATTCGTCTTGGGCCCAACCGCTCGTGGTGCGGCTTTCCAAAGATCGTCGTATAGAGATGAGGGCGGTGGTCGATGATCCATCACCAAGGCTGAATCAGCTCATTATTACCATCCAAAATTCGCCCATGGCCCAAGAACCAGTCGGCCCGGAAGACGTATCTTCTAAACACACGGGCCTAAATATACATGACCTAGTTGAATGGGCCGACCTCTTGGTTTGTGTGCCGCTAGATATCAGAAAAATTGAAACCTTATTGGCGGGTGGAGGCGACACTTTTCTTGATGACCTCCTGAGAAGCTGGAACGAGGCCCAGAAAGGGTGCATCATGGTACCCGGAATGGATGACAGCGCATGGCTAAGTCCTATAGTCCAACAGCAACTGGGTGAAGTTCAGAGAGAATGGCCCTGTATCCGTGTGATGCAGCCCATACTGTGGCACTATGAAGATGCAGCGCATCCGCAGCAAGCAACGAACTGGAGTGGATTCAGAGACTTGCTTGATCTTATTCAAAATCAAGCCGATCTGTTAAATCTTGGCCGCGATGGCGAGGCGACAGGGAGAACCGCTGCCACGTCCGAACTTCATGCAATGACTTTGCCGGGCCTACCATTTGAGTTATGGAGCAAAGTGTTGAAGTTCACAGGGGATTGGGAGCTGGCTGCTGCATTGGGCATCAATACCAGTCTGCCCGTTCCAACAGAATGGAACATGCGAGTCGAAGATCTGAGCGATCCTTTGCTCATCTACTCACATGAGCTTGAACGGGCGGTCCTCGCATGCAACATCACTGCTATTTGCCAGAAGCTATCACAAGCACCAGCAGATTTCCAGATTTTGCCAGTGCTGGTCGTGAAACTCATCACACGATTTGCTTTAGTCAAGGTGCTCACTTATCTGGAAAGCAACCACCCCCAGTTGTTCAAGGCATTCGATGGGGCCTTTCTTCCAACCAAAGCGTCTGCATATTATCCTCAGGTCAAAGTCTTGGATTACTGGAAAAACAGTCCTCACTTCCAAAATCGCCATGTCTATGATACCGAGGCGATAGATGGCGCATGTAAGAATGGCCACGTGCATATTTTGCAGTGGTGGAAGCAATCGGGGTTACCGTTGTTATACACCAAAGTCTCACTGGAACAGGCGAGCGGTAACGGCCTCATCTTGGTCCTTGAATGGTGGCGCGACGCTGCTGCCCTGGACCACAATATCGTCTTAAAGACTGGCAGGTCGCTCTTATGGGCTGCCACGAATGGCCAAGCAGATGTGCTACGATGGTGGCATGCTTCTGGCATTCAAATGGGGTACAGCGGTGGTGTGGCCTTTACAGCTAGCCGTTGGGGGCATGTCCATGTCTTGGAGACGTGGCGAAAGCTGCAAGGCGATGGCAATGTCTTATTTGATGCCGAGGAAGTCATATTCATCGCTACAGCTCGTCAGCATGTGGAAGTCCTCGAGTGGTGGCGGCAGTTTGCCCGGGGTACGCTCGACGGCATGAATGGGCGAGGAGTCAAGGTCAAGTTTCGAACGCGAAGGATCCAAGAGGCTGTTGAATCTGCTCCCAAGTCTCAAGAATGGTGGTTTCGTTATAGACTAGGCATTGGGAAAGATCAGGACTGGTGGCCCTCTTTTCTAGCATTGTGATGCGTCACGATAACATGATATCCTATATAAACTACAACAGCGGACTTGCCAGTTTCTCAGCAAATATTCGGAGGTAACGTTAGGACGAGGTAACATCGAGCCCGATTTTTGGAGCTTTGTTGATGTCATGCGCAGCAGGAAAAGAGTCCTGAGATTAGTAGGTATTCATGCAAGTATGTACACAGTCAATAGCAATGTAGCTTAGTATGCCCAGCAGAGCTTGAAATTGCAAATATGATAGTGCCATTTGTCAATAAATGTTTTATTATTTCCCATCTTTTTCACATATCCCGGCATGGAGCAGCTGTCAAATGCAGAACTAATGAGTCGAGACACCTCGGCTTGTGGCGAAGACACAATCAATGGATCAATTCCCACCGTAGCGGCCTCCACCCTGGGATCGAGTCATTCACATAATAAATAGCCCTGCACTCCGTATTCTGGTTTCCCTCAAGACATCAGGCTACTGGAAATTTGAAATGAGCTCGAGGGGCTAGGCTGTGGCTGACTGAGACCTGAGGCCACACTGATCACTTTGAACACATGGCACACGGCTGATGAGTTGTCCAAGGATCGTCTCAGCCAGCGCCCACCTCCGGATTCGTACAAGTAACGAGTCAGGAAGAGAAATAAGGCGAGCCCGATAGAAGAAAAAAAGGGAATAAACAAACAAAGCTGTATATGTGGTGAACGGACCAGTCAAAGGTACGTGCAGCAAGAGATCGATCCCATTCCGGCAAGTCAGCGGGCTCCGCATTGAGCCGTAATTATATGGACATGGATAAGTGACGAATCACGCGCGCGAACGGGCAAGGAAATAGAAAATGACGTTGAAGATGGACGGTAGCGTTGGTAAGGAATATTCTGCATGGCCAGTTGGCGAGAAGATTGGTTTACTTTCGTTGCGGATATTCATTTCAACACAAGGGATTGACGCGATTTTCTGAGACGTGGAGTGAACCACACCACCCGTTCTTCCCTTGAGGGCGATGTCACCGGATTTTAAAATTGGAGGGCTCGAGGTGTAGAATGCTAGTACAAAACAATGAATGTTTCTAGTTTCAATCAAACGGCAGAGGAAACGGGGTTGACGGCGGACAAATAGATTATAGCGGGCTGAGATTTGCGGGATGAAACCAGACAGCATTCAAGCTGTAAGTGCAAACATATGTACAGCCTCAACACCTGATGATGCCATATTTGCCATCAGCAGAGCTTATCATGACTGCTAGCAAGCGCTGACGATGTCATCACTTAGGCAGCTTGGCACCTGGTCGATGAATTTGGTCATTTATTTGGCCGGGGAGTTGGTCTACAAGAGGACTGGCGATCTGCCGTCTTCCCTTGCCCTGTGAGGATCAAGCGTGTAGTTTCCCTGCATATAATTGACATTTATCGAATGCTCCCTGTATTGAACCCTGGGTAGGTACACATACGCAGGCATTTCTGCCTCGTATTTGCAAGGAGGTCGTCATATCTCGCCAACAGGCAAAAGTATGGCAAATTAATAGTTCGACACATCCCGGCGGCCGTCGTTAATCTCATCGGGCGAAATTATATCAACTTCTCAAGTAGGGGAACTTGCGTGGTTCGAGCAATTTGGCCTTCAGGCACGATGTGAATATATCACAGCCGCGACAACACACCAACTTTTCTGCTGGTGAGATTGATGGAACTGCCGATGCGGCAATTGACGGACGGGCATTAAAGACACGGACGGACCCAATGAGACGCTGAGGCACGAGCTGATGCTCCATTCGCACTGCCAGCGGGATAGCTAACGCAGATGGGGAGAGACACGTGGGCGCCCCAGACTCAAGGCCAGCGTGCGAGGGACAAGCCTGTAGGATTTCGATGTCCCTGCAGAAGCAGGAGGAGGATGAAGGACGCTTGCTGTGAGATGTCTCAGTTGCTTTTCTCGTGTGAATCAAATGGCGTAATCGCTGCAGGAATCCCCAAGTGCATCTCCGTACGGAATACATCTAAACTGGCGGCGGTATGTGCCCATACAAGGAGAAGCCGAATCGATATCGGACAACTCCGCAACAGCTGATCCAGGAGCGGTATCCCTCCTCTTGCATCTTGTGTAGCGGATAAGGTACTGCGGGTATCCGATACAGATATACTAGTCGGGCAATCATCGTGTGAACTCCTGATGCAGCGGTGAGGTTCCAATGCATGGTTGCGAGATTCAAGCACATGGAGGTCATTTGACTGAGGTGGAATGGATGGATTGCTGATTGATCACCTCGACCAAACTTTGGGCATCCTCCAGCGGCTTCAGTGGTTCGTCTGGGCTTTCCGGCGCGCCAAGGCCCTGAAAGCAGCCCCTACCTGACCACCAACGGCCCGTGCAGGGGATGTCCGCCGACCTCAGGCACCCAGGACGGGCCTAAGAAGGGGAACCCCTGCTTGCTGCTGGTCTTGACTTGACTCCTCATTTCCCATTTCTGCGCTGCTTCGCTCGTTGCCACCAACCGAGAGTCATCACACTGCCAGCCATGTGTTGCATCGCACTGCAGAAAGGCTGAGAAGCCCCCAAAGACGGGCCCCCGCGGAAATTAGACAGCCAATGCCTGGTCAGCAGGCGACACCGACTCAAATCGGCTTTGGATGCCATCGTGCGCACAGTCGGCGGGCCGAGGGCAAGACGCAGACGGGATGGGCCAAACAAGCTCAGACACGGTGTGATGCAACGAGCCGATTTCACGCCTTCAAGCCCATTGCGTGCTTGCTTTGATTGCTTCTCGCCCCAAATCGCGTACTCGTACAGGAAAGTCTGCAAGCCTATCGTGCCCGGACCAGGTGGTGACAGGGAGACAGAGACTGCATGGGTCTACCGTGGAGATCGTGGCTAGCGTCACTCCAACAAGGCCTCAGTCCGAGATGATTCGAGAGGTTGCCAAGTACGAGTACCGACGCGAAGCATTGATGGAATGCACAAGCCCGTGCTGCTCCAAGGAGAGGAGCTGTTGCTCCCGACGAGTGGGATTCAGGTGTGCGCCGGCAGGCTAAATGGGCCATGTCCCAGAAGTTCTTACGAGTACAAGCAACGCGCTCTTAGCACCGACCCGACAAGCACACGCTACTCCAGTAGTACGGAGTCCAGCACCGCGGATGTGGTTGTGATACAAAGTACTTGCATGTTGGTGCAGGTGGTATCACCATTACTGCCGGTCAATTGCCTTCGAGCCTGCAGCGGGAGGCGGTAGCTCGACGAACCCTTGCCTTTGAGGAGACGATGGTGTTGCATCCAAGTCGGTGATCCGGCGCCAGGCCCTGCAAGGTTGTCGACATCGTCTGAGACTCCCATCTTGTTGTTGACGGCGGCGCCATTTCCCTCCCCTCGTGATTCAGCCAGGCCTGCATCTCTCGCTTGTTCTTCCCATTGCGACCAAGGGAACCGCAAGAGGAGGACAAGGGACAGGCTCGCTGTCGGCCGCCGGCTTCAACCTTTTGCCCACAATCACATCGTTTCCTGGACCGCTTCTCTTTGCTCCATCATACCGTACTATCCAGAGCACGTACCTACAAATACAAAACGACACACGCACGCACGCACGCACGGCCAGGCTAGGCTGGCTTGACAATTGCCCACGGCCTTATCCTCGCATCTTGCTCTCCCTGGTCATTCTGATCGGCTGGTCGCATTGGCTATATTGCTCCAGGTAATTAGACTGTGGAGACTGGCTGCGGATTCTGCAGTGGTCTAATTCAGCATGGCAGAACACTAGACCTCGCTTCACCACATCCCAGACGGTACCCGCAGCTTTTGTTCATTTACACGAGAGCCCCCATTCCCGATCTTGCCTGTCTCTGTTACAAACTTGCATCTTTCCCCGCCATTACCACGCGCCTCCCAGCCAGAGAAATCGGGTGCTCTGCGGCGTCGTCGTGTTTGCTTCTTCGCTTTGCGGTTTCCATCACGACCAAAGCGAGGCGACAATCCGCGATCAAGGTAGACCAGGGTCCCACTGGCAAGCGGAATTCGCGAACGACAAAACCACCACCAGATTTCCTTTTTCTGCGATTGCGAAGTCACCGACGTAACCACCTCACACTCTCGACGTTTCAACCGAATTCTTGGAATCCCTGGGATTTAGAATACAGCTGCACAGACTTAATTCGGCTCTTGCATACATCATTTAAAACGTTTTGTCAGATGACGGAGTAATAGTGTTTCGATTACCAGGGTTGGGACGGAACTTTTTTTTTTTTTTTCTTTTTGCTTTTTTTTCCTTACCAAGGCGCCTTGGGGGAAATCTTACAGGATGAGGAAGTTCAACTTTTCTCGGCCGGCACGTAAGAAGCCGCAGGAGCCCCAGCAGCAGCCAATACCGGCGATGCCTATGAGTAAAGCTCATAAAATCTTGGGTTCAACGCCGCTCAGCTTCGACACTTCTTCAATTCATGACGCCCCGCCGCCAACCGTGAGTGTTGGTATGTACGAAGACAAGACCCTAAGCGATCTGGATTTGAACCTGCGCCAAACAAGGATGACAAAAACTGATGGTGATCGGAGAAAAGAGCGCGGACCGTCCCCTTCGAACCTGAGGCTGAGTGCCCTTACCGAAAGCATGAATTTTGGAGGAAAGAATTCGTCCGGAACTCTCAAGAAAGCCCAGTCGTCTTCTACCATCAAATCTTGGCACGACAAATCAAAGCATTCTCGTTCTCTTTCACGGCAAGCATCGATCCCGCTCATGAATACTGCCTTTTCATCAAACCCGCATGCTGCCGACGAATCGTCCAAGTTAAGAAAGAAGCCCCCCAAACTCGACTTTACTGCAATAGGACCGTCTCCCCGATTGTCAAGAAAAGAGTCGGACAATTTCAACCCCAGTGCATCTAACAATTCGATCAAAACCCCGACGGTGTCATCTCCATATTCCACTGTGTCCCATCGGCAGAGCGACCTACGCGGCATGTTCAAACGACGAACAAAGGACAGCTTCAGGTCTTATGTGCCTGATTCCTCGCCATCAAATGCTGGAGAGGCCCGCCGAATGACGACACAACTGTCAGACAACGGGCTTTCCACGTTGTATGACCACTATGAACAGATGACCTTCCGACACGCTGTGGATGATGAACCCGATGTCATGGGCAGCCCTGTCTACAAGAAAGACCAAACAGACGGTCGCGGCCAGGGTGAATCTGAATGGCGGGAGCCGCAAGTACGACAGAATCTCGATTGGCTTCACAAACCTCTCAACGAATCACACGAGTCGAAAAGACTGTCCCATTCGGAATACTCGTCGTCTCCAGGAGGCGATGGAGCCAGAAGTGTTTCGAGCAGGCATACTCGAACTTCCAGGGCTTCCAGGCAGACCGACAGTGGCCTCATCCAGGAAGCTGACTTTCATGATAAAAGCGTGCTGCTTTTGTCATCCGACTCGGAAGAGGACGAGGATGATGAAAAGTCCTCGACTAGAGACCATGTCCCTCTTCCTACGCGACCGTTACCTGAACCACCAAGTCACAGCCAACAGAGACCGTCGCGATCACGACAGGTTTCGGGACATGAGCCAGGTGGGGTGCAGAATAAGAAGGCAAGCTTCGCGCCATCCAACACCTACATCGCTATTCCTAGCGCCGAGCGAAAGCGACTGTCGCCATCTCCTTCTCGGCTGAACCCGCCCTTCAGAGATGGCTCCCGCGCTTCCTCTCCCAAACCCTCAGTTGGATCTACGAACTCGACACGGTCAGGGATGACGGGTCAGATCGGCTACGGCGCAGAAGACTCCGTTCCCACGACAGTTTTGCCAGCTCGTCGTCCATCTCAAGCGGAACTAGATCGTCAAAAGGCATTGGCAGCGCTAACTAGCGGTTCCGGACCCTCGTTGCGCCGGGAATCTGCAGCAACATCATCAGACCACCCTGATCATGAACCAACGCCACCACTGAGTCCATCCTCTGTCAACTTTTACTTACGATCCGCTCGGTCATCCATCGACGACTCCAATGGGCAAGGCCGCATCATGGCACTTACTCGTCAAGAGGAGATGCTGATTTCAGCACTCCGCAAGAAAACCCAGGCAATGCGTGAAAAGTCACAGCTTGGTTCCGCCGGCAAATCCCAGCCGAATAGCCGTCCAGGCAGAAGACACGTCTCAAGCCCATCTCAGGTAATGGTGACGGACTCGATGCTCGACTTTGACTTCCCCGCGCCGCCATCCCATGGATCAAAACAACGACAGTCGGGTGCGAGTTCGATGCTGAGTGCACCCATTACGGAGCACCAATTTGGAGAGGATGAGCCCTACCGAGCACCTTCTCGTTTGACTGCAGACACTGGATCCGAAAGGGCATCTTTCGTCTCTTCTATTCGTGGCCCAGACGAGTATAGCGAACAGCAGGATGTCCTCGTGTACCTTGATCAAAGCAAGCACGCTAGTGGTCAATGGAGTCAGTCCGGAGGCGACGGCCAGGCCCTTGACGAGGCGGCTATGTCGTCAGGCATTCACGCCATTTCGTGGGATTATCCAGATGATAAGCGCACATCCAAGCTCAAGGGCAGAGCACCATCATCACGGCAGCAAATGCAAGCCGAGTGCATGTCTCCGTCCAAGCTTACTAGGCTCTCCGAGGATGGAAGCGAAGATGTCCCCCGACCAGATAGTCCGATATCCAACGATACCTTCCAACCACCACGACAGCAGCGTCGCGCTGTGCTCAACACGGCACGTCTTAGTGCCGTGGGATTCGTGCGAAGGGATCCCGAGATGGGGTGGTGGGGAGATGACGATTGAACGAACTACTCGCGGCCTCGCTCTCACTCCCATATATACGCTTATGCTTTCTGCTTCTCGAGATTACGAACTGTTTTGAATTACCGCAAACTACAACAAAGTATCTTCCGGTTCATTATTACGCCACACAATTTTTACCATTTGCTGCAACCTTTTAATTATCACTTTTTCTTTTTACGTCGAAATATATATTGGGTTGGTTGTCATAATCTTGCCCGCAAACACAGGCAAGCTGATACCCGGAGCAAACTGCGTCATTGGAGGGAATCTTCTTTCGTTTTCTTCCCATCTTTCTTTTCTTTTCATATTTTCTTCATTTTCCATCTTTCTTATTTATCTACGCATGACAGGGGATAGAGCGGGGCGAAACAAAAGAAATATTGGTTGGATTAATGGTTGGAGCAAGCGGGAAGGAAGGTTGAGAGGACGGCATGGAATGAATGGATGGGTGTCTATGTGGAGTACGGGATTTTCATGTGCTCGCTCATATAACGTCAACTTATGGTCTGCTCATGTGCAACAAATTTGAACTATCCGAGGAAGAAAGTTGACGATTGGAATGAGAAATGTGATTTTCGTGCTTCCAAAACTTTGAACAAAAATTGTGGATGAGATTTTTGCGCTTAAAAGAAGACGTGCTACGTAACTCTTCGTGAGTGACGGTGTGTGGTTGTGTGGAACCATGTATTGTTGGCTGAAAGAGAGGTTCCACGCGTTGTCTGTTTGCCCTGTTTCCTTTCCCATCTACGAACGCCCCTCCTCTCACCGTCTTTATCCAGTCCCCGGCGTTACCTTGTGTGATTATGAGTATGTAGAGCCTTCAGGGGGTTGGGGGATCTTCTTGTTGGCGGGAGCGGCCATATATCTGTCAGTGTCATTGTTAGTTTTGGGCGGTCAGGAAGAGTGCAAAATAGCTTAGGTGCCAGGGGACATCGCCCGGCCGCAACAAGACGGCGAATATGGGGGGGAAAAAGGAACATGTAAACCCACCTTCGCAGCTCAATCAAGACCATCTCCATGGTGTTTTCGCGCTTCCACTGGGCCAGGCAGGGCAGCTGCCTGGGGTCGACGACGCCGTTCTGGGGGTTGACGCAGGGGAGGTTGACCTGGCTGACGAATTGGATGGAGGGGGGCTCGTCGGGGTACTTTTCGCCGCAGTGCATTTTGAGGCTGTAGATGCGGTTTTCGTGGGCGGACTGCAGTCGTATTGGAGGTTAGCTTTTTCTGATATGCATGGAGAACCGAAGGACAGCCAGCGTATTGTCCTCCCAGGAATCAAGGTCAAGGGGGTGGAATCAAGCGTTTCATCTCTCATCTTATACGACTGCCGAACCCTGCAGGCCTAGGTATGTATAAAACGATGGCAACAAGCGTTGATGGGAAACAAAAGCAGATGCAGTGAGTCGGCCCTTACATGAGGAGGTCCCAGGATGGTTCCGTTCCAGTTGGACATGAGCAAGTCCTCTCCGTCTTCCAAGCCGTAGCTGCAGGCTTCAGCTCCGAGACCCTTTTCGCCCTTTTCGAGCTCCTCCAGCAGGCGGAAGTTGCGCGGGACCTTGGCAGACATGGTTCCTGGTCTATGTGCGTTCCCCTTGTTCTTTTTCTCTCCTTATCGCCTCGATGGGTTGCGTGTGATGCTTTGCTGCTCGTCGTTGCGCGCGCAGTAACCACTGGGTGACTCTCTCGTCTCTGAGCGTTTGTTCTGTTTCTCTTTGGTCGAGCGGGATTTAGACGCAAATAGAAGATGCAATGTCGAACTGTCGCAGGGTTTGTTTGATATGGGAGCAGCGCTGTGCAGCTATTCCTGGCGCGGGGCAGTTTTTGTATGCCGAATCACTGTTATGGAGAACAATGACAAGGACAAGTGAGTGATATGACGGAATGGTTCGGGGGTACCTGACCTGGTCGGAGGTACCCTGGCTGCGGCTCAGCGGATTGTTAGTGCATAACCTTGTTAGTGCATAACATGGGACTGTGGCTGGATGGGTAAATGCCGGGTATAGGCGGGGAGCAAGCGAAGCTCTTCAACAAGCTGCAACCTGCAAGCATTTCCCGAAACGACAAATCACAGCCAGATATCTACACTACGACAGCACAAGTTTTTCCTTTTGTTTTCTCTTCTCCTGGCCATCTGCTGTCCTCCCTGCTTTTCTGCAGCTCAATTTGGCATCACAGTTACGCTACCACTCAAGCACAAGCTGCAGATCCAACGCAAACCAGGGAGCAATCCGCAACTCTCGGCCACCGGCTAGCCCAAGCAGGCACTCGCATACACGCAGCAACGCATTGCATTTTTCTCACGATGCCCTCATTGCCACCCAGAGCCGCCCTCCGAGCGGGCAGGACAACCACGGCTCTCCTGCTGCGGCCTCAGTCGCACCTATCCTTCTCTTCGTCTTCACGCACTCTCCTCCCCACCAGCTTCTCCAACACCAGCGGCAGCTTTGGTGGCCCTCTGCCCTCATATTTCCAGAAGCCCCGGCTGCCCGCCAACACCATTGTGCGCTTTGTGCCGCAGCAGACAGCATGGATCGTCGAGCGAATGGGCAAGTTCAGCCGCATTCTGGAGCCCGGATTGGCCATCCTGGCGCCCGTCATTGACCGGATTGCATACGTCAAGAGCTTGAAGGAGGTGGCAATTGAAATTCCTAGTCAGAGTGCCATTACGGCGGACAATGTGACGTTGGAGCTGGACGGTGTTTTGTTTACAAGAGTGTTTGATGCGTACAAGGCCAGGTGAGCTGCATGCTCCTTTGCCGCTGAACTACCAGGAGAAAAGTCCATACTAACGAAGACTGTGTTTTCCAGCTACGGCGTCGAAGATGCCGAGTATGCCATCTCCCAGCTCGCCCAGACCACGATGCGATCCGAAATCGGCCAGCTAACTCTCGATCACGTCCTCAAGGAGCGTGCTGCTCTCAACACCAACATTACCGCCGCAATCAATGAAGCCGCCCAAGCTTGGGGTGTCACTTGCCTTCGATATGAGATTCGGGATATCCATGCCCCTGGAGCTGTTGTGGAGGCCATGCACCGCCAAGTCACCGCCGAGCGCTCCAAGCGTGCTGAGATTCTCGAGTCCGAAGGTCAGCGACAGAGTGCCATCAACATTGCCGAGGGTAAGAAGCAGAGTGTCATCCTCGCTTCCGAAGCTTTGCGTGCCGAGCGCATCAACGAAGCAGATGGTGAGGCTGAAGCTATCCTGCTCAAGGCCAAGGCCACTGCCGAAGGTATTGACGCCGTGGCTGCAAGCATCCTCAAGGGCTCTCACGGAGCCCAGGGCGCCATGAGCTTGACGGTGGCGGAGAAGTATGTCGAGGCCTTCAGCAAGCTTGCCAAGGAGAGCACGGCTGTTGTGGTTCCTGGAAATGTCGGCGACATCAGCGGCATGATTGCCACTGGCCTCAATGTCTACGGCAAAGTCAGCGAGGCTCAGGCAAAGGTCTTGGCCAAGCAACTCCTCCCATCATCTTCCGGTAGTGAGGCCGAGACCGCTACAGGGACACCTTCGGAAGAGTTTGCCAACGAAAACAAGGGCGGTGTAAAGGACAAGGTGCTGGAGAGCTTCAACCAGGTTGCCGAAAGGAAGTAAGGAACAAGACAACGCCAAGCCATATAAATGAAAGCACGAAACAATTTCTACAATCATCATAACGCATGGGCCAAATAGGGGCCACAGGATTACCTTCTGGACATGTGAAAGGGGGAGGGGAGAGAAGGAGGGGAGTATGGAAGGCGTTGTTGGCCCACGTCACGACTGCACTATGTATAAGGGAAAAGCGAAGATTTGGGCAGACACGGCGTTTTAATGCGCGTTTTTGTTCGCATGTGTGTGATTTTTCTTTCTTTTTTCTTTCTTGTTTTGGTTTTCCCCCCCTCTCCCCTGTAAAAAAATCTCTCATCATACAACCAATTTTTGCTATTTTTACTATTTGCTTTTGCATCTTTTATCCTTTAGCTTGTAAAACTACAATGATGAAAAGGGGGGTGGTGGAAGAGGCACATACGACGTTTGTATGAATAGGCGAATACCACTTTCCGTGCGCAAGAGACTACTGAAAATTGAAAAATGTCACATCATGGAAAGAGGAACAGAATAGGTACGTGAAGGTAATTAAAGCATTAGAATTGCGTATATGTATCTAATGACTATTCTGGGGCGTCGAAATCCGACACAGCCCCTCGATTTTTCTCCCAAGTGTATGGGAAAAGAAAAAATAGGTATCATTTCAATTTCAATTTCTCGTTCCACCACCGTTGTATTCCATTATTCACCGTTGCCAGATCATGTCCTTCACTTTCGTATATCGCCAACGTCAATTCATATTTGCCGGTGATGGCTGCGTGTATGGTGCCCCTGAGCACCACGATGAAGAAGCCCGTTTATAGAACAAAGGGGATGAGGGCAAGGAGGCCGACGAGGATGCTGGGAGCGTTGATTGAGCCACTGCTGTCTCCGTCGTCTCCATTGCTGCTGCCACTGCTGTCTCCGTCGTCTCCATTGCTGCTGCCACTGCTACCGCCGTTGGAGCCGCCATTGCTGCCTCCGCTGCCACCATTGTTGCCGCCGTTGGAGCCGCCGTTGGAGCCGCCGTTGCCACCGTTGCTACCACCATTACCGCTGCTGCTGCTGCTGCTAGAGGTAGTGGCAGGAGGCTGAGTAGGCTCAGGAAAGCTGTCTTCAGTTGTAGTCGTAGCATCATCGCCGCCAAAGGGGTTCGACTCGGTTGAAGATGTAGCAGTGGGTTCAGGGTTGGGTGAGAGACTGTAAGAGGTTTGAGAACCGCTCGATCCTCCTCTGGAAGAGGTCTGGTCATCGCCGCCACTGCCTCCTCCGCTGCCGCCTCCTCCTCCTCCACCGATCCGGCATTTGAAGTCGGCCGTACACGTCTGTCCAGCATCACAATGATAGCCATTGTGACAACATACTGAACCAGTTGGCATACACTCGTCGTCGCAGGCTTCGTATCCGGTCGGACAGCCGCCGTCACCACCTCCGCTGCCTCCTCCACCACCGCTTGAGCAAGTACCCTTGGGCACACAAAACTCGCCGCAAAGATCACGATCTCCCTCACAGCCCGTGGGAGGTCCAGTACAGACCTTGCCAACAGGACAGCAGCCATCAGATTCACACGCGTAGCCTATGTCGCAATATTGTCCCAAACCGAGGCCGCAGCAGATGCCGGTCAGGGGCATACAGTTGGAATCACAGGTAGTCATTCCAATGCCGCAGCCATCGGAAAGGGAGTGAACACCAAAGGTTGAGGTAGATGAACCAGGAGCGGCGACGGTGACACCTCGACCAATGGCTTCAGCGAGATTCATGGCCGCCAGCTTATCGGCGGCGGCGAGCCCAGCCGCGGCCAAGAGAAGAGCAGAGTAAACAGTCATGATGGAGAAGGGAAAGATGATGGTCGTGAAAAAATTGAGTGGACGACACACAATGTTGCTTGGACAAGAGAGGGTTTAACAGCAATAGCCGGGCAACAACTCGAGTTGAAGTAGGTTCACGGCCGTCTTTATAGGCAGCAGCAAAAAGAGAGACTCAACAATTTCCTTTTTCAAGACTCCTGCAGTAGCCCCGGACTTTTCATACACCCATTGGGCCTCAGAAGAAGCCATCACAAGCTAGCAAGCAATCCTGTCCAGGGGTCAAAAACAAGCGACAATCCATCCAGCCTTGATTGGTGAAGCACAGGGACGGCTTGGAGTCATGGCAAGGCCCATGCCGGCACTAATCCCTCAGCCCATTTCGCCAAGTATTCCCAGTAGGGCAGAGGAAGCCTTATGCCAATGTGCTATGGTTCAACGGTGGCTTGAGCTACTGCTCATATTCATGCAGCCCAGGAAAATGGCTTCATGTGGCATTGCTTAGCCAAGGACACCCAAGTTGAAGAGGGTGGGTGGCTGACTCTTCTCGCTCCCTTCCCAATGAGGCGGTCAGGTCCGCCTTGATGGATCATGTTTGCCAGTGACAATAGAAAGTCGCGGTGACCAAGAATAACAATTGTCTACCACGATGGAGCCTAGAGACGCAAGGAAAATATAGAGAGAGCGGGGTCGATTCTTTCAGCTCGCAAGGACCATGTGGATGGGATGAGCAGTTCTAGGGATAGTGCGAGGCAACAGTTGGATGGTTTTAAAGGATGTGAGACATGGGATCACTCTAGCCTCCATAATGCCAGCGATAGTCGGTTGTAACTTGTTGACCAGGGTTGGGCCAGACCGTTGCGGATGATCTCCCTTTGAAGCAGCCCAATGGGTTGTGGATATACCCCAGCAATATTCCGGCACTCGCATCGTCAAGTTCTAGGCCTTGGAGAGTATTCACCGACATACCGTCTCTCGATCCCGTTGCCTCTAGCAGCCATTGTCCCCATCTAGGCGCAGACGTACTCGTACAAATGTTGGACTGGTGACTCAGACTCTCGCCGTGTACTTGGGTCGCTTCCCTTGATAGCATCGGCAGTAGATAGGCAAAGCACAGAGGAATCCTAGTGTTGAAAGTCGGATGTCGCAGTGGAGACGCACTTAAGCTTAGCTACAAGACTAAGGCCAGCACAAGCCTCAGCCGACAGGCGCTCGCCAACCAGATCGTATATCGTATTTTGTGCCAGTTGTGAAGGGGTGCCCATGAGACTTGTTCTCCAGTGGCAAGCAGCAAGTGGCCATGGGGCTGAAATGTTCCTCATGCATCGACTGCCGGGTAAAGCTCCTTCGGGCTGAATCAGGCTCCAGTCTAGGGGAGTATAGCTCGTAAGTTCTTGCTTAGGTCTCGTCTTCTTGGATTGTTTCGATGCCATCTTTCGACTGTAAACGAAAAATGTGGTTTCTTTCTTTTTTTTTTTTTTTTTTCCCATAACCCCTTACAACTTGTCAGTTCTTTGGCTTAGTTTTCCATTTCCCTTTGCCTCTCTCCTTTGGGCTCGGCATATAATTCCTCCTCCCTTACGGAGGGGGCTAACAAGGATAATTGCGGCTGAAATTAGTCTGTCTGTGAGTTGTCAGCGACAATGAGGTCGGGTCAGTTCTGCCTTGCATATGCGCTAAAAGCAAACCCAGACCGGTCGTCGCATTGGTTTCAACAGCTGCAAGCCAGAGTGGTCGAAAATCTCTCTAATTTCCTCAAGGCACAGCTCTGTACTGCTCGGTCACCCGCATTGGCTATTTCGTAAAGCTATCAATATATCGATGCTTTTTTCGACACAATGATGAAGTACTGGTGTGAGAGCGCAAATAGAGGTTTCTAACCTGCCAATTTGAGATGCAAATCTGGTATACATGCGGCTACCAGTACGTTTTAGATGGTCAGTGTAAATCGTACGAGAGTCCCTACAATGCCTTCACAAGCAAACGTAGCTTTGACGCTCTCTCCCTTCTTGGCACCTAGGCGGACAAACATGATCTTGGCGCCCTCCATCCTTCTCACGCTTCCCCTCCAAAACCACAGGAGCCGACCATCATCTCCTTCAATGACCAAGGTTGCCCACGGACTTTTTTTACACCAGGTCGGTATAGTGTCATTGCTATACCCCAGTACGACTCTGACCGCCCAAGATTGACGGGGTCCTGATGTGCTAGAGTCTTGCTCATCATCCTGAGCAAGATTATAGCTGGATATCACAGAAACCTGCAGGTGAAGCAGTGGGAATCCCGATAGCTGATTTAACATTTGATGCCCAAAGGGTGGATTTCTGCTGAGCAACCGTTCAATGTGGTAAAACTCCAATTTGGCAAGTTGCTTGATGGTCTTGATGTTGGCATCAGTAAGGCGCTTCATCTTTGCCGCGCCAATCCCTTCGACCTGTAGCAATTCCATTTCGGAGCCCTCCCACACTTTTGCACTGACACTCCTGAGAACATCCAAGGTAACAGTGACTCCCCTGCCATCTTCCCTCTCTCCAAGGATGTCGGCAAGGCATCTCAACACACGATCCATGACGATGTAAATTCGACCGCTGTCTCGCATAAGTTCTTTGCGACCAGTGGCAGATATCTTGTTGGGCCATCCTCCTCGCGAGAGATCAATCTGAATGAGCAAAAACACTTTTTGCCAAGATTCAGTGACAGGCCCGTTGATTGGGTATGGGATTCCTGTATGATCGTTGATTTCTCGAAACAGATTCTTTTCCGCTTGTCTTATCGGGAAAGATCGAAACTCTGCTGCGCCGCACGCAGTCTGCAGTACCTTTCGTCGGTCGGGCGCTTTGTCAATTGCAGAAAGCGATCTAAGGGTGGGCAGTGAGAGCTGGTATCGAAGTCTGATGTCGTTGTGTTGTGGTGATTCCATCTTTCCGACAGTAATGGGGGACGTTTTAGGGGGCGTTTGTTGTTGCAATTCACCCGCTGGAGTAGAAAGTGGCGCTCTCTGGTCGACCTTGCGATTGACCGGCGTGAAGAAAGAAGCCATTGTGCTGGACTTTGGCCTTGTGGTATGAAGTTTAGCCCAGGTCGGTGCTACACTCTAATAACGTGCAACAGGATTGCCAATGAAGCGCGGTAAATGTTGGCAAATGGCGTGAGATGATTCTCGATCCAGATATCTCGAGTGAAGCAGAGAAGAGGACAAATTGCCAAAAGTTGGAAATGCGGAGGGATTCTCACATCTGCCTTTTGTTGCAGGTGCCAAATCTCAATTCCAGGCAGTCACCTCCTTCCTAATAGTCGCTCTGTCCCAATACTTCCTCCATTTGACCCTTTGCTCCTTCCCATGGGTGCTCAAAGCTAGCCCTATCTTATCTTTGGTCGGACACTCGATTCCCTATGCTGGTTGATAAATGTGTCTGTCACTCCTCATCCAAGGAATTGCAACGTGACCTTCACTCAATCAGCCATCGCTGAGATATCACGGAGATAACGAGGCTATTCAGCGCATGTAGCGGTAATGGGGCGGCAGGCTCTTGTCACGATGACCAAATCAGACAAGCACACGACAAAGCTCATCGTTCAGGCCTCAGTCTTTGAAGAATACAATTCAAACTATCGGTATTCGAGGGGGGAAATAAGAACAACTTAGGGAGCGGCTTCATCGTAGGGAGAATCGTAGCAAGACAAGTGTCTAGAGAATGGTGCACCAGCCACCCGGGCTTCTCCTCTAGATGCTCCTGCGCACGCCAACATCGTCCCAAGCCTTCCGAACCGTCTTGGCCACATCATCGCCAAACTCCTTCTTGGCAACATCGACGGTAGCATCGGCGAACTGGAGAAACGTGGAGCTCTCAGGCACCTTGCCGCTCCGCATCGTCTTCCACCAAATCTGACCGGCTTTTTCCCAAGAGTAGCCGCCAAACGCCTTGGCTGCCAGGTAAAAGGCCTTGTTGGGAATGCCAGAGTAGATGTGCACACCGCCATTGTCCTCATACATTGTGACATAGTCTTTCATGTTGTCGACTTGGGGATCTTTGCCCTACTCAAACTGTCAGTTTTGAATCATCTAGAGGTCAGCACTCCTCAACTCACAAATCGAGGGTCATCGTATGCGGTTCCAGGGGCTTTCATGCTTCGAAGAGCAACGCCTTTGACACCGGGAAGAATGCAGTCTTCGCCAATGAGCCAGTCGGCATCTTGCGACTTTTCGTCCTGCACCTTTTGCTTGATCATGATGCCAAACACGTCGGAAATATGCTCATTCAAGGCACCCGGTTGTCCCTGGTAGTCGAGGGCGCTTGTGTGCTCGGTAACTGCGTGCGTCAACTCGTGCCCAATAACGTCGATGCAGCCAGTAAAGTTGCTGAGAAACTCTCCGCCGTCTCCAAACACCATTTGCCGTTCTTCCGAGTCCCAAACTGCTCTCATATTAGCCAGTGTAACAGGGTGGGATTGAAGCAAGGCCATCGATCAAACACTTACAAGCGTTCTCGTACTGTCGGCCAAAATGGACAGAGCTGATAACATCCATGTTTTTGTTGTCAATGGAGTTCCACTTGAATTTGTCCTTGTAAAACTCCAAGACTGTTCCGACATTGTCATATGCCTCATTGACAGTCTTGTCTTTGGCCGCCTTGTCGCCCTCAGCCCGAACGAGCTTACCAGGCAATGATCTCTCGCTTGAGGTATGCTCTGCATCGTAAATTGATCGTTGCGGCGCATCTTTGCCAAGTTTTGCTACTTCTGCCGCAAGCTGGGTCTCTTCTTCACGGCTCTTTGCCCGTGACTCGAGGTGAAGGGTATGTTCCAGGTCTCTCGCAGCGCGCGCTCGAGCTTCCTCGTCCACATGCTCAGATTGGGATATATGGCGAAGGACATGGGCAGGAACAAAGGGACGCGTGGGCGGTGCAGCACGGCTGCTGCGTCGGCTCTGTATCACTGCCTCGATGTGGCTTTTGCGTTTGGCGGTAAAGGCGTGATGAGACTGAAGGGCAGCTCGAGCAGCTTCGCGGATGGTGTCGGGGTTGTGAGAGGATTCACCAATGGCCTTGAGGAGGTGAGGAGGGACGATGTAGCAGCGATAGGACATGGTGGAGATGTTGAGATGGTAAGAGTATGATGAAAATAATGTGATTTCAGGGAGGAGCAATAACGCAATACGACAGTAAGTTGGTGATGATAATAATGATGATGATGATGGAATGTTGATGTGCCGAGATGCAAGTTTGCGTTGGGTTATGAAGAGCCAGAATTACGATCCTGAGATCCTCTTTCCCTTTTTATATCAAAACGCATCTCGTCAACCGCGAGAGACGATGGCTGTGCCTTCCACAGCTGGTGAGATTCTTGAGCCACATCATGTCAGTCACATTGCGTCTTTGTGCAAAGACAGCAGGAACGTAAAACACTCGCAAGGTCGAACTAATAGAGTTTTATTCGTGAGAACCTCACAAGAGCAGAGGAGTTTTCGTTTTCAGGCCTCTTTAGAGTAGAGTTCCCGACAAGGGCCATGAGACGTTGGACAGAGTCCATTTATAGATGCGTTCAAGTCTTTAGCATAGTGCAGCAGTTCGATAATATCGCTGGTGTCCGAGACAAATAGCAGGTCTGCTGCCATGAATATGAGCACACTCAGCTGAGACTCTCCAACTACGGCGATGAAAGCGAAGCCTGGCAACATTCAATTGACGTTTGCGGGTGCCAGATCTTTTATATATTTAGTCGCACAGTCATAAGACCTTTATATGCCTATAGTTCCTGTCAACGTCGTCAATTGTGCCTACACGTGCAAGGCACCAAATGCGCATGTACGTCTTTGAGAAGCAATACACGCTCACCATCAATCTACGAATCGCCATTCCTCTTTTTATTCTCCTAAGAGACATGGCATTTATCAAAAGTAAAAGCCCCATCCCAAATGGGCATCTCGCCCTAACCACCAATGAGTAATGTGCAACCGTCACGTCAAAAGCCAAGTCGCGTCACTCAAAACCCGCAATCACACGCAACTCAGCTCACAACAAGCAAAGTAACACTCTACCAACATGGTCAAAAAAGACCCCATTCTAGGAAACAAATAGCGAAAGCCAAGGCACCTTATCAGATCACAGCTGAAAGAAGAAAAAAAAGAGCTCCATGACTCAGAACTCCCGTCTCTGCGCGCTCATTCGGCGCCATCTCCCCCGAATGTTTCGGCAGCGAGTGCTCAAAGGAACTCACCCGGGGTGGAAGCTACAGGCTGCTAGCTCGCTTGATAGCTTCGATGAATGAGTGAGGAAGAAACACTGGTAGCCAAGCATTTTGCATTAAGAAGAGGCCAAGCCGGCCTCGGCGCCATCAGCTTGTGCGAAAAGGCCGAGCTCAACTACAAGCAGCCCAGATAGCATTCAGGTAGAGGCAAAACCACGGCGTTCTCCGTATATAGGTACTAAGGTAGCACGGCAACGGAGATGATAAGTACTGGTACCTGCATTGGCGGAATAAATGCCTCTTATCATCGGCGCGGCAATCAAGTGCCATGGTCGCGTTATCTCGTCTTGGGTACTAATAACGTGTCTGGTGCCCAAGCAGCAATACGAGCAGCTTCACATCAACACAATTGAAGAACAAGAGAGAAGAGCAAACAATCCACCGCCAATGACACCAAACCACGATCAAGAGTCTCCATCATGCAAAACATCAAACAAAGCACTCAATTCATGCACCATCTCTCATCCTTAACAGGAAAAACATCCCACGCGCTCAATCGCCAACAAGGTAACCCGCACTACCCTCATTTCCGCCTAGCACCACCCAAAAAACCACCAAGCACTCACACACTCGATAGCTTCGTCCCCCCAGCACCAGTACCAGCACCAGTGCAGTACAGTAGTACATAATAACAAACCACCCATTCTCTCTTGCCCAATGCAGCCAAGTACGCCTTCAGCCCATGAAAAGGAGGTACTCGCATTAACTCGTCGTGAGTAATTGGTAAAAAAAGACAGACAGAAAAATGCCATACAGTAAGCAAATACGCTTACTCGTATCGCGAGACTCTTGCACGTTTCATTCTCCATGCACGTAATTTCAAGACTTCTTCACCGTTGAAACCCCCCCAGAACCCAACCAACTCCCTACAACAATTCATCTCAATTTCTCCATCTACCCTCACCTCACTTCATCCAACATGAGTCCAGCACCAAAGTCACTCACTCACACTCACCCACTCACTCATCCATACATGTACCCATGCCCCTCGTATCGTATTACTCGATCATCAACGCACAGGCCCCTTCAACGCCCATGTCTCTCTCTCTCTCTCTCCCCCAGTGTCACGAACCATCATCCCATGCAGGGCCAAACACAAATCCGCCGCCCCAAAAGCCCGCAAACGCCTCCCAACCTTGGCAGGCACCGAAAGGAAATGAGAGCCCCCCCAGACCCTTGCATCGCATCGTCCGCTTCGGGCCTAACCAACTGCGCCTATGCGCGGGGAGGCACAACTAGCAGCCACTAGCTGCGTTTGGGTGTAATTAATGGCCCGGACAGAGTAGCAGTACCCCGTATTCACAGCAGATGGCAATTTGACAACAAGTACTCCGTATGGGGGATGGAGAAGAGGGAAGGCCAAGCGAGCAGAAATATGACAGCCGGCTCTTTGTTGTTGGTAAGAGCTTGCTGTGAGTTACGGAATCACACATGGAAAAGGGCAAGGGTAACAAGATCAATGTAATCAAGGTTTCTCTCTTTTTTTGTAACGTCCTTTTACAAATAGGCAGCGTCCCAATCGGGCATGCGCCGGGAAAATACATGATCCAAAACAGGCAATAACAAAACATCAAAGAGGATATCAAACCACAGAAAAAAGCAAAAAAACACCAACGGCAAACCAAAAAAAAAAAAAAAAAAAAAAACAATCATCGATCCTCTTCTCTTCATCAATCCAAGCAAACGTCATTACCCGAAATCGGCTCGGCGGAAAGAAGAGCAGACCTCCCCCATTAAAAAAATCATTATAGGCGTTCTCGTCCAGAAGTAATTTGCAGTGAATAGGAATAAAAGGAAATTGGGTGGAATATTTCGGTCGAGGAATACGACTTTGCCACAGATTTGGTGTCCGTTGCCAGATGTACAATTGAACAAGAAAAGGGCGGCTTGTGTAAAAACCCGAATTTGTATAGTATTAGCTTGGTCCGCTCTCTTCTCCGCACGCAAACGATCTGCCCCATCTACATGCTTTTCATGCCCGCAACAATAAGTACATTCCTAAAAAGCAAAACAAAAGGGGAGTGTGGCTTGAGGGTCCCGTTTACAGGAGGAACTGAGCAAGGGCAAGGCCAGCACCAACAGCGAAGACGCTGCCGATGGTGGCGGCGGTGCGGGAACCAGCGTTGCCGGGGACGGTGGGAGGCTTGGTGGGCTGGGCAGAGCCGGTGGAGGAGACGGTGCCGTTGCTGGCGCTGCCACCGCCGGAGCTCTTGGTGGGAGCGGCGGTGGAAGAGGCCAGGGTGGTCTGCTCGGCGGTGGTCTGCTCGGCGGTGGTGGTCTGCTGCTCAGCGGCGGTGGTGGAAGCAGGGGCCTTGGTGGAGGAGTGAGCGACAGAGGAAGAAGAGCCCTTGGTGGAGGTGGGGGCAGCAGTGGTGGAAGAAGAGTCGCTGCTGTCGTCGCTGCCGTCGCCCAGAGAGACCTTGATGCTCTGCCAGGAGCCGCTGTTGTCGCCGTAGATGTACTCCTTGACGCTCTTGGAGGTAGGGGCATCAGCACCGGCGTAGTCGACAATGGAGATGCTCTTGTAGTAGCCGAGGAAGGGGGCCTTGGAGAAATCGGTGTAACCACCGGCCCACTCGACGGTGCCCTGGGGAGCATCCTTGCGACCTGCGACCCAGGTTCCGAGCTTGACCTGCATGGGGGTCTGGGGAAGGCCGGCAGCACCGCCCTCGGCGTTGGCTGCAGTCAGGCTGCGGACGACGTTGTTGTCGATCAGCCAGTTGACACCAGCAGAGGTCCACTCCACAGAGTAGGTGTGGAATGAGCCCAGAGGGTTGGAGACGGGGTGGAAAGCACCACGGTCGTAAGTAGCGGTGTTACCCTTGCTGAAGTAGTTGGTCTGAGCCTGGGCGTTGTCACCGCCAACCCACTCCCAATCGATCTGAATCATTACGGTTAGTCATACTGTCTACGTTTTGGCGTTGGTAGCAAAGAATGGAAGCAGCAAACATACCTCGTCGAGATCGTCAGACTGGAGAACGGCAGAGGTGACGATACCGGGACCGGCGGCGGCCTGAACAACGACATCGATGCGGCCGAAGAAGATGTACTTGCCAGTGCGGATGGTGGGGGCCTCCTTCTCGGTGCTGATGGAGAAGACAGCACCGTTGCCGCTGTACTTGAGGGTGGTGCCGGGGAGGCTCTCGAAGTTGTCGCAGGCGCCCTTGGTGAAGTCACAGTCGCCGTTGTTCTTTCCGAAGGCAGGGTCGTTAGGGCAAGCTGTGAGGTTTATGTAGTTAGTGACTTTTTGTTCTTTTTGATGCTGTCGAGCGACATCCCTCTCATAATCCGTGTAGAATGATGAGATGCCGCCGTTCGAAATTCACTTACTCTTCTCGAGAGGGTTGCAGTCCGTGGAGGTCTGGGCAGACACCAGGGTGGAGGCGGCAAGAGCCAGAGCAGCGGTGGTGAAGGTCTTAGAAAGCATGGTTGCAAATGATTATACGATGGCGACGGCTCGTCGAAAATAAATAAATAACCGGATTGACGGGTGGGAAAATGTGCAAGTATAAGACGGTCGAAAGGATATTATTAACCTATGCAGGAATATGGGCTGCAAAAACCAAGCGATAGTCGGTCAATCCGAAAGGCTGGTAGCGAGAGACTGCGCAAAAGGAAAAGACGCGGGAGGGACTCGAGGAGGTTGAGGAAGCTCGAGAGGCTTTTAACGAGAAAGTGTGATGACGATTAAAAGGGACGAGAGGAAAAGAGAGGAAAAGAAGAAGGGAAGGCTAGGCTGGTGGTGAGTGTCTTATTATTCTTTTTCCAAGACACCTGAGAGAGAAGGGACGCCGAGTACAGAGTACGAGTAGTGCTCGTACAGTAGAGGCTTCCGCTTCC